CTGTTCTACGTCTACCTTCTCCAAAACCTTCACAACTTCTGTGATATGGTGCTATCCCCATCTTAATCAGCTTTCTGGATGGTCCTGTCTGCGATGCTGCCCAGCTGTTCAACTGAGATGTTCACTCCTACCATCATGAGTAGCACGTGTAATAGCTCATCATAGGAGATCTTGTCATCTTTATCTAAATCATCTGGTCGAAAAGCAAAGTGCAGTTTGTTGCTTCAGCTGTTTAGTGGTTCTGGTCTCTTCACATCTTTACTCTTTTCATTATGTTCAATGGGTTGGAAATGAACCAAAGTTCTCATGAATCCATGGAAGTTTACCTGGTCTTCTCCATCTGGAAAAAAGGAATTGATGATCTGGTCTCTCAATGGGTTCATGACAAGTTCTGGAATCCATTGGAAGTCTTCCTGGCTAAGAGTCCCATTTTCTCCTTTGTCCAGACTGGTGAACCAGCTATAGAGTGGTGTGATCTGACTGTGGGAAAAGCCAGTTTCCTTCTTGATCTCTTCAAGCTCTTTGTCCCACAGTGACATGGAGGCCTGAGACCCCATCACTGAGTCAGGAGCTCCTCTGGGAGCAGGCGCACCAGAAAAGAATGCAGTAGTTGGAGGCAAAGAGGGGAAAGAGGAAAGGTCAGGGGTCAAGGAGGCAGAGGGCGGGGTATCCATGGTGAACTGTATTCTGCTCATTTTTTATATCTTTTTTTTCTCTTTGCATTTTAGTTCGGGAAGTTTGTATGGACACAACTTCAAGCTTACTGATGCTTTCCTTGGCTGTACCACTTTAATAATAAGCCTATCAAAATCATCATTTCTATTATAGCATTTTTTATTTCCAGTATCTTTCGATTATTTCTTAGTTTCTATTTCTCTGCTTACATTACCTATGTGTTTTTGCATGTCCTGTAATATTTCTAATAGACTTTTTAGCATTTAATCAGTTATTTTAAATTCTATATATGTGATCATTCCAAAACCTGAGCTATATGTGACCTTGGTTCTGATGCTTGTTTTATTTCTTGAGACTGTTTTTTTCTTTTAGCATGCCTCATAATTTCTATGTTGAAACCCAGACTTGATGTATGCTGTAATAGGAACTAAGGTAAAAAGGCCATTAGTGTAATGTTTTATGTTAATCTAGTAAGAAGTTAGACTGTGTTTATTAATATCTGCTCTACCTATAGGTGTCACAGGGTTTCAATTTTCTCTAATGTCCTTGTTTTTTGTCTCCCATGTTTTCTTTGGATTTCCTTAAAAACTTCTTAGAGTCTGAGCCCTGCAGGCCTTTCAGCTGTAACCCACAGTTATTACACTGAAGCCCTGTTCATATGGTGGTAAGGTATAGGGTAAGGGAAAATATTCTGCAATCCTGTAATCAAGCCTCAGTCTTTCAGTATGCCTGTGTCCCCAACCTGTACTCTTCAGAAGTGTGTCAGAATTTTTTTTTCTCTGTTAGATGAGACAGGAAGGCTAGAGGGGCCTGAAGTTAGATGATTTCCCTTCTCCCACACTAGTGAATACTTTGGTAAAGTAGTTTTACTTGTTGGGTAGTTCTTTGTTAGACAGAAGCTCTGAGTGTATTTCAAAATTACTACTGTTCTGTTCCCCATGCCAGGAACAGATATTTGTTTTGGCTCTTCAACTTGAGAGCCTAGTGGGGTTCCTAGAGGTATTTATTGACTAATTCCAGAGGCACCATGGCTACCATATATGGTGGTTCTATGAATACTACTTGCTTTCCTACTAGTCAGGAACAGAGTTTTTCTCAGCTCTTCAACTTGAGAACCTGTTATGTTCAAACACTAATCTATACTTTACCTCAACCAATTTGTCAAAGTTACCACTTAAGTATTCTTACCAATTTATGGTTCCTGATAACTAGATCTGGCCTGTGATTCTCGGTAATTTCCTGTCTCTCCAGATTTAGGGGTTGCAGTTTGCTCTGTGACTTCAGTTCTCTGATGGGTCCAAGAAAAAAACTCATTGATTTTTAGCTTGTTTGGCTGTATTTCTTGTAAGACAGTAGTGATGACTTCAAAGCACCTTATATGCTGGAGTTGAAACTAGAAGCCTGCAACTAGCCATTTTCGTTCAACATTATGTTTGCAAGCTGCAACCACACTGACACATCTAGTTATATTTTATTCATTTTCTCTATAGTATTCTATTTTATAAATATACTAGGCTTTATCCATTCTCCTACTGATGAACATGTATGTTGTTTACAAATGTTATAATGAGCATCCTTATAACACCTTATAATGTGCATGTGTAAGAATTCCTCTAGGATAGATACCTAGGAATGGCACTGCTGAGCCATACTTCTTCTATTTTACTAAGTATGAGCATCTTTTATTTTACTAGATATTGCCACAATGTTCATGAAAGTGGTTGTACTCATTTATACTCAGCCAGAAATATATTAGAGTTCTTAGTGTTCTGTACGTTCACTAATATTTGGTATTGTCATGCTTTTATGCTACCATCCTAGGTGGTAAATAGTATTTCATTATAGTTTTATTTTGTATGTCTTTAATTGCTGATGAGACTTAATAAGTTAATTAGACAACCATGTTTTCTCATCTGTAAACTGCCTATTAACATCTTCTGACCATTTTATTTGGTTGTTTGTATTTTTCTTAGTAATTTATAGGGAGAGATTTCCTTAAAATGACTCAAAAAGCACAAACCATGAAGTAAAATTCTGATGGTGTAGTTACATTAAAATGAAAGGCTTCTACTTAATGTAAGACATCAGAAGTGATGTTAAAATGATAAGCCACTCACTGGGAAAATATATTTGCTAAATTAGCAGAAAGGGTTTCTATTGAGAATTTTAAAATAATCTCCATAAGTAATATGAAAAACTACACAACCAAATAGCAGGCAAAAATTAACAGGCAACTTACAGAAGGTTCCTGAAAGGCTAATAAATTTATAAATACATGCGTAATTTCAATGGAAATCAGAAACATGCAAATTAAAACAACAAGATAACTTTCTAATATGTTAGACTAGCAAAAATAAAAAGTCTAATATTACAAAGTACTGGGAAGGATGTGAAAGAGATCACTGAAACCCTGCTCATGGAGTTGATATACATATCCTATATATACAGTAATTCCACTCCTAGGTATGTAGTCTACAACAGCGATTCTTAAAATGTCTCTCAGACCAGGAGCAACAGCATCTCTTGGGAACTTGTAAATGCAAATTCTCAGGCCCTACTCCAGAACTACGGAATAAAAAATTCTTGGGGCGGAGCCAAGCAATCTATTTTAATAGCCCTGTCAGGTGATTCTGGTGCACACTAACAATTGATAATCACTGAAATAAAGCAATATTCTTCCAGCTTTTTTGACTAAGGTCTACAGGAAAAATGCATTCTAGCCCACAAACATCTCTCCTCCCCTTCTCTCATGTGTGTGTGTGCACACATGTAAAACAAAACCTTCAAGAAATAGTATTTAATATTTATATTTTATTGATATTGATATTTTATATTCTATTCTACTTCATTTCATTTACAAATTGCTGATTGTGACTTACTAATTGTATAATAATGTTTGTTGCAGAATTCTTTGCAATAAAAAAATGAAAGGAGCAAGTCTTCGAGAGTTGGACAAATGAATTATACAGTATTTCTACAATGAAATACATAGTTCCTTATATCATTAGAAATAAATTTCAAAACCACGCATATTGAGTTTAAATATCAAGTTATAGAAGGGTACATAGGCCCTGGCTGGCGTGGCTCAGAGGATTGAGCACTGGCCTGTGAACCAAAGGGTCACAGGTTCAATTTCCAGTCAGGGCACACACCTGGGTTGTGGGCCAGGTTCCCAATTAGGGGTGCATGATAGGCAAGCACAAATTAATGTTTTTCTCCCTCTCTTTCCCTAAAAATAAATGAACAAAATATTTTTAAAAGAAGGGTATGTAAGATGATTTAATTATGATTTCCTCTAAATAGTTTTAAAGTATATAAAACTAATGCTTGCTTCGGCAGTACATAAAGTATATAAAACTATATACTATTTATGAATATATAGCTATGTAGTAAAAATATAAAACAAAGATTTTTACAAGTTTACTTAGATATTTGCCAATTTCTCAAGACTTAGAAGCCCTGTGCTTTCACTTTGCTCTTAACTACTAGCATCTGAAATCATATGTCATATGAAAGCCAGGTAGAGCATTTGGAGTAGCCAAAGAACTTATATGTATGAATGAACAATAGTGTGGGGATTGCCTGAGGGACTGGGGGGTTTCTGGGTGAAAGGGGGCAAAGGGGGAAAATTGGGACAACTGTAATAGCATAATCCATATAATAAAAAAAACCTCAAAGGGTATCAGTAAATCCTACTCACAACCAGAAGATCAATTATTGACTAATTCCAGAGGCACCATGGCTATGAGATACGGTGGTTTTATCAATATTACCTGATTCATTGCTAGCCTAGAAAATTGGAGGTTACTTTTCCTTCAATTCAGGTCTTCTACTAAGTATGGACTAAAGTCTCTTCAAGGTTTCTTTAAAATTTTAAGGGTAGTTTAGGACCTTGGAAAACCACAAAGAAGATCATAGGAAATATATTGCTTATGTAGTATGCAGAGAAAGAATAGTCAAGGTCAAGGAAAAACACAATCACTATGCCTATGTCATAATTCTTTGGTATAATCAAAGTGAATGTAAAAGTATTACTTTATGTAGCCCTGGCTGGTGTAGCTCCGTGGATTGAGCGCAGGCTGTGAACCAAAGGGTCACTGGTTTGATTCTCAGTCAAGGCACATGCCTAGGTTGCAGGCCAGGTCCTGGGGGGGGGCACACATGAGAGGCAACCACACATTGATATTTCTCTAACTCTCTTTCTCCTTCCCTTCCCCTCTTTCTAAAAATAAATAAAATCTTTTTAAAAAAAGTATTACTTTATGTAGAGGTAAATTAAAATGAAAACAACCCATGTTTTTTTTTTTTCTTGCTTTAGCCTATACCTTGTTTGGCTCCCCTGGATTATATGAAGAAAACATAGGAATTTTTCGGATCTCTTCCTCTGACAAACGATTTCTCTGGATCTCATCTTCTGGGACAAATTCTATTGGCTGCGTCAGCTTCTTAGGCCCAGTCCAACACTGCTCAGGTGAATTATCAATAACTTTTGCCACATGGAGACTGGGACTTTTACCCTGTGCTGCCTGTTCTCCCTTGTCCTGGAGTAATGGCGGGTTCTCAGCTGTGCCACTATCTCCCACTGATGCAGCTGAGACCAGTGAGTGGGAAGCAAAGGGTTCACCTCTCATAAGATGGAACTCTTCAAGACGTTTTTTCATTATCATCTCTTGGTAAAAACTTTCCAGGTTGTTCATAGGATCACCTTTGTTCTTCTTTTGGGATTCATCTGGATCAAGACAAAGAGATACGGAAGTTCTACAAAGCCTACCAATAAAACCTTTAACAAATTAATAAAAATTAAATCTTGGATCTCAGGTATAGAAACTCTGCTGGGGCAGGTATTTACAACCAATGACAGTAGTACATAGATATTTTATTGCAGTGCATTGCAAGCAAGGCTGGAACTACACTGAGGCAAGTGAGGCACCTGGGGTGCAAAATTTAAGCAGGTGCTCACTCTCAGGGTCATGCAAGTATATATACCTAAGTGATAGGGATACTTGAAAAATGTAAACAGTATGGCATTATCACACTTCTCAAAGTTAATAATTCCTTAATATCATCTAATACCAAGTTCATATTGAAATGGCCCTGATTATCTCAAAGATATCTTTTTACAGTTGGTTGTTTTAACTAGCCTTTGGCTGTTATATCTATCTCTTAAGCCTTATTATTTTAAAATAGTACCCCTTCTTTCCCAACCCTCCAACCCACTTTCTCCCCCATCCATTGGTTTATGAGAGGAACCCAATAAATGAATGTGACTAATTGTTCTTCATGGTATTATTTAACTTGTTCCCCAATCCCTTCCATTGATTACAAACAGGTAGTTAAATCTAGAGCTATTCTGTCTAATACAGTACCCACTGGCCATGCAAATCTATTTAAATTAATCTTTTAAATGTCAGTTTTTCAAACTAGTCATATTTCAAATGTTCACAGCCACCTGTGGCTAGTGGATGCCATATTGGGCAAAAAAAGATAAAGAGCATTTATATCATTATACAAGTTGCATTGGATAGAGCTAATCTAGAGGACTGATAAGATTCAGGTGCCCTATTTTTAAATACGAATCCTCCTCCATAGACAGGTGTGTACTTTCTGTTATAAGGCATATAATGTTTGGTAGTCCCATTTTTAGTGATGTTGAATTATATCAGTGAATTCAGATGGTATTAGTTGGATCCCTCCATTACAAAGTTCTGCCATTCACCTTTCACCTAATGGGTTTTACATCCATTATGACTGTTACCTAGATCTAGTAATTTATTAAGAGCTGCGAAATGGAGCTCTCCTGATTCTACTATTTGTTTATATTTATTATTTATAATTCTATAATAAACTTACCATTAACTAATTAGTTTCCCTATACACAGTTCATACAGGAAAGGCAGGATAAATGCTTGATTTTTCCCATTATTTATCAACTATGACAGTAATGAGTTGATATCTTAGAAATATCCAGTGTTGACCAATGATTATTTATTTTATTTTATTTTTAATAGATTTTATTTATTTTTAGAGAGAAGGGAAGGGAGGGAGGAAGAGAGGGAGAGAAAGATCAGTGTGTGGTTGCCTCTCATGTGTCCCCTACTGGGGACCTGGCCTGCAATCCAGGCATGTGCCCTGACTGGGAATTGAACTGGTGACTCTTTGGTTCACAGGCCCATGCTCAATTCACTGAGCCACACCAGCCAGGGTGACCAATGATTGTTTTTAGTATAATTGTGAGATTGTGTAGTTTCACGTATTTGATGTACTTTTTAGTGAGGAAATTATCCCACTTAGGACTATAAGAGTCTCTTCAAATTGACTCCTGTATTGCTTTTCAGTTTTCTGGCACAGCAAGTTGTCCCAAGCTCATCTTGCACATTTTCTGACTCATAACTGGAATATTTCTCCAAGGACTCCTGGCTCCTTTTAATGGGAAATAGTATTTAGAAAGTCAAATGTGTTGCTAGGTGTGTTCATTGCTATTAAGTTGTTATTGCTTGTAGGCATTTTCAGTGAACACAACCAGGACATTTTTTTTAAAGAGAAAAATAAATTAGACTGGTATTTTCACTTCAAATATAAGATTATTAGGTTTTTACTCAAATTTTTACTCAAACTCCTTGATTTTAGACTTGTATATCTGTTTTCACATATGCTTAAAATATTGGCTCTTAGTATTAAAATTGTTTATTAGTTTTTTCTACAATAAATTTATAGAAATTTTATATGTCAATAACAATACTAATACGACTGTCAACAATGAAACTACTGAATAGTTTTATATTTCATTATGGTTACCTTTGTCCTTAAAATACATCCCATTAGGAATGTACAAATATTGTTTCAAAGTCATTTAAAATAATTGTTTCTCTGTATTGTTATGTTACCAACTTTATACTTTTAGGTTCATCTGCTTCAGGTTGTTTATGAATTTTAGTGATTGATGTTTTTTCCCTTTATTTATTTTTCTTTTTTTTAATTTTTTTTAGTTATTTTTCAAGTACGGTTTTCTCAGAAAAATAAAAATCGACCTGCCTTTTGACCCAGCAATTCCATTGCTAGAATTATATCCTGAGAATCCTAAAACATCAATTTCAAAGAACCTATGCACCTTTATATTTTTAAATTATGCAAAATATTCATATGGGTCTAAATTGAAAACTGTGTTATACATTACACAGTACTTTTATAGCTGTTTTATTTCCATCTCTGTCCTCTTCATCACACTCCTTCCCTTCCCCATAAATAATAATTTTATTAGGTTTTGGCTTTATGGTTGCATTGATTCCTTTTTGAAAATATAAGCAAATAAGCATATGTACACATATACATAAATATGTGTGTGTCATTATTTACATCCCTCTCCTACTGTTTACAACTTACTTTTCTGCCCTTAACAATATACACTTGAGATAACTCCGTATTATTAGTATGTATAGCTCTTTCCTTTCCTTCTGATAGGTGTGTAATACTCCACTGTGTGGATGTTCCATAGTTTATTCAACTATTCCCTATTAAGGCATGCTGGCATTGTATCTAGTCATTTCTGCTGTTATAAATAATACCCTGACAAACAACCTTGTGCATATAGGATTTTGCATTTTTCCAGTACATCTCTGAAACAGATTCCAAGAGATGGGTTTGCTGAGACAAAGGGTCAAATGTGTGTGTAATTTTTCTCTATATTGATAATTCCAGATTGTAGAAGTTGTACTATTATGCATTTCTACCAGCAAGGTATAAGAATATATGTGGAAGGATTTCTGAAGTCTCCAAAGGACTAGCCATTAAAGAAAAATATTGACAAATTCAACTACATTAAAATTAAAAACTTCTGTTCATCAAAAATATCATAAAGAAATAGAAAAGCCTTGGGACAAGAAAAGATATTTGCTGCACAAATAACTGATAAAGAATACAGCCATTAGGAAACTGGGTAAAAGATCAAAAAGCTACCTCAAAAAAGATACAATACATGCAGCTAATAAATACACTGAAAGTTACTCAATGACATTAGAATTCAGAGAAATGTTAATTTAGAAGAAAATACTAATAGAAAACTGTCATATTGGCACAAAAATTAAAAAGGAATACCAAATTACATATCAGTGAGATTGTAAAGCAAATGAAACCTTCATACATTGCTGGTAGGAATGTGCAACTACAGTGCAAACCACTTTGGCATTTACTAATGTTGAATTTATGCTCATAAATATGGCCCATCCATTCCACTCCTATGTATATGCCATAGAAAAATTAGGTTTATGTCTACCAGGATACAATAAGAATGGTTTAATCAGTGGTATTTATAATAGCCTGGAACTAGAAAAAATACAAGTGTCCTCGGAAGAATCAATTACAAAATTATAGTAAGTTTATATGATGAAATACAATGTTCCAGTGAAAGTGAACAAATTTCAGCTATATATAACCAAGTGGATGAATATCCTAATGTATATACTCAAAAATATTTATTCAGTGACTATTATGATCATGGCATTACTCTAGGTTCTTGACATACATCAATAAATAAAACAAAGATTTCTATCTTCATAGAGCTAAGTGAATTATTATATTAGAAGGTTCTGTTAGGTTATGAGTACTTTGAAAAACAAAACATATAGCAGTGTATGGGATGATTGGTAGTGCTAAGACTTGGTAATATTGGTGGCTACACCTTTAATATTGGTCTGGGTAGGTCTCATTGAGAAGGTGACATTTAAGAGAAGACTTCTAGAATGTGAGGGATTCTACTATGCTGATTTAGAGTGAGAATTCCAAGGTGGCAGTATGTCTCAAATTTTTAAACAGCCTGAAATCATACAATGTATTTCTCTGACCACAATGGAATCACATTAGAGATCCACTACTGGAAGAAATCCAGGAAAACACAAATATTTGAAAATTAGACACATCAAAATAACCCATAGGTCAAAGAACTCAGATAGGAAACTGAAAAATATTTTGAACTAAATGAAAATGAAAACACAACAAATTCAAATTTATGGATATAGGCAAAACATTGCTCAGAAAGAAATCCGTCCCTTTAAACACCTATATCAGAAAAGAATAGCAGTTTCAAATCTATAACCTGAGCTTCCAACTTAGGAAACTAGAAAAAGCAAACTAAACACAATGCAAGATGAAGGAAGAACATAATAAAGATTAGGGAATAAGCCAGCACAGTAAAACAAAACAAAACAAAACAAAACAGGAAATTGAGAAAAATCAATGAAACCAAAAGCTACTTCTTTGAAAATGTTAACAAAATGACAAACCTTTAGCTAGACCGACCAAGAAAATATGACAGAAGGCACAAAGGATGAAAACAAAGAAATAAAGATGAAGCATCATTACCGAACTTATACAAATGGAAACAACTTTAATGGGATATTATAAGTAACTTTAGGCTAACGAATTAGAAAGGACAGATGAATGGACAAATTCAAAGAAAGATACAAATGATCAAAGCAGATTCAAGAAGGAAGAGTTGAGTAAACCTATAATAAGTAAAGAGGCTAAATTAGTATTCAACAAACTGTGCACAAAGGAAAGTCCAGGTCAAGGTGGCTTCATTTGTGAATTATACCAAACATTTAAAGAAATAATATTAATCCTCCACAAATACTTTCAGAAAATAGAGGAAAAGAGAATATTTTCCAACTTATTCTATGAGGTCAGTGTTACATGCAAATCATAGCTAAACAAACATATCAGAAGCAAAGAAAACTA